CTCCGGATGCCATAGAATTTTCAAAGCGTTTAACGCTTTCTGGCACCTCACACCACGTTATTTGATGTGTGGTATGAATATGAGTTTTTTTGTCTAATATAACTGCGAGGACACGAGCCTGGTCCTGGACGGGAATCCTTTCCCCGTAGAGCGTCAAATCCGGCTGCAGTACACTTCTGCCTGATTGGCAGAAGTGCACTGCAACCGTCTTTGACGGGGAAAACTTGAAACCGTTATTGTTTGCCCACTTTTCAAGTTTGTGAAACTGCACGTTTGCAGATGCCTTTCCATAGATCTTAGTTGAGGATTTTTCGAACGGCAGTATATCAAGAAGTCATCAACGTATAACGAGCTGTCTATGCTATTATGGAAGGTTTTTACAATGAAATCTATTTTGATTTCAAATACGAGAGGAGAAAGGATGCTCGCCTGGTAGACACCTTCCACCTGTTGGTGTGGATCTGAAAGGGAGGATCTGACACGAACCTGAAAGGAACGGTTTTTCAGGAAATTGCCAGTGAAGGCAGGGAGGCGACCGCGTATGCCGAGAGCTTGCAGGTTTCTAAGAATTCCGTACTTCCAGGTTGTGTCGTAGGCTTTTTCTAGGTCGAAAAAGAAGGCAATCATGTGGCCTCCTTCGACAAACGTCTCGCGTATAAAGGTCTCCAGGCGGACCATGTGATCGAGAGCGGATCGAGTTTTCCTGAATCCGCACTGGAGACCACACAGCGAGCCCTTCGTCTCCAGAAACCACATGAGTTGCCTGTGGATCATTTTTTCTATAAGTTTGCACAGACAGCTCGCTAGTGCTATTGGTCTGTAATTGGATGGGTGTGTGTGGTCTTTGTTTGGTTTTGGTACTGGAATGACAGTGGCGAGCCGTCAAGACTCCGGAAAGGAGTGCGACCGCCACATGTCGTTGTATATGTCTAGTTAGAGTGTAAATGTTTCTGTGGGTAAGTGTCTAATGATCTGGTTGTGGATGGTCCCGAGGCTGTATTGCCCAGGTCCGAGGTTCACTATGTTAGTTCGTATAATGTGAAGTCTGCGTTGTAGGTTTCAGGGTTGTTTGAGTGGAAGTTTAGCTGTTGTTGTTGTCTGTTCGTTTTGAGGTTTTGGAAGGTGGTGTTGTAGTTTGCTTGGGATGAGTTTTAGGCGAGACATGTAGCTATTGTGTTTGCAATGTCTACCTGTGTTTCAGCTGTCGTTCCATCCGGCCTGTGGACGTGCCGGATGGTGTCTGTGCGTCTACCTAAGTTTTTTTTTGTTGCGATTTTAAAAACATGGTTGAGTGGTGTCTGACTGTTTATTTTGATTATGTATTTTCTATTTTCTAAACGATTGTCTTTTGCTCTCCCCGAAGCATCTACGTGCCTCAGCTCGAGCTTTTAGGTAATTCATTTTGTTGTCTGTTGTGGTGTTTTCGACGGCTTTTCGATATGCTGCCACCAAGCTGAGGATCTTCAAAACAAACGTGAAGACTGTTCTACTGTATGGTTCAGAGACATGGAGGCTCACAGCATCAGCAGCAAGGAAACTTCGGAGCTTCATAAATGGAAGTCTAAGAAGGATAGATGGGATCAAGTGGTACGATCGAGTCACAAATGCTCCACTGATGGAAAGAACAATCCAAAGGCCAGAAAAGGAAGACATACAGGTGAAATAATGGAAATGGATTGGGCACACCCTGAAGAGACCCCCGACAAGCATCATCAGACAGGCTTAGACGTGGAATCCACAAGGAAAATGTAAGAAAGGAAGACCAAATATGACATGGAGGCGAGCGGTACAAGCGGATATGGAAAAGGCGGGAACATCATGGAAACAGCTAGAAAAGTATGAACAGGACAGGCTTCGCTTGAGAAACGTTGTTGATGGCCTATGCTCCACTGGGAGTTTAAAAGGGCAAGAGAGAGAGAGAGAGAGAGAGAGAGAATGAGACTAAGATTAAACGATGCGCCTTGGCGCACATATGACCTTATGCAATTGCGAGCGCCTCGAAAACTCTGCTAAACTAAGCAAAACGATGCACCTCTGCGATCTCTACAGTTAGCTTGGTTTTCATTTTAAATTTAAATGAAATTTAACAATACTAGAATGTTGAATAATGGCGTCAATAATTTTAATGCAGAAACGGAACAAATAAAAAAAGGAACGTTTCAACGCACACAGTTAGATCTATATAATAATATACATTAATCGTTCTTTATTTTCAGTTGAACAATCAGGACTCGTATTCACCTGATGCTCTGGCAACAAAGCTGCTGTCGTAAGTTCAAGAGAGAATGGAGGGGAAACGAAGGCCGGGGGGGGGGCACCAAATAACAGGACGTCGGAAACTAAACTCTTTCCTATTATGTGTGTGTGTGTGTGTGTGTGTAGGTGTGGGTGCATGTGTCTGTGTGTCTGTGTGTTTGTGTGTGTGTGCGTGTGTGTGTGTCTCTGTGTGGGTGTGTGTTTAGTTGTTGAAGTTTTACACCACATGGGCATAACTTAGAATATTTTGGATTAGGGACGCCTCGACCGTACCTGTTAGTGCCAATCCAGGCTGAAAGGCATTCGATATCCCAGAAGACAGTCAGACAGTCAGATATACTTGCTCGAGCACTCAATAAAATCCTGCATCTTTTGCGTGTGATGGCGAACAACCTAATTGCTAGACCTCAGACATCGGTCTTTCATTGTGTAACTTTTTTGGAGAAGAAATGATTGGCTCTGGGCAGGCCTGTCAAAAAAGAGTCAATTACCTTTTACAACTTGTATCACTAAATTTAATTTTAGTAGACATTTTAACCACTCAGTAATGTACGTGCTGTTTGTTCATATCCACACAATTATTATTTAGAACGTTTAGGAGGGGGCTTCGAACCCGCCTGCGCAGCTCTTATCCACTTCACGACAGTCGTCAGTGAATTTATTTTGCTTTAGGGAAATAAATATTATCCAGATTTAAGGGATACATTAGTAACAAATAGTAATAATATAGATCCACACACTTCTCTAAAGTATTTGGCCAAGATACAAGCCTTATTCTCACAAAAACTTAGGAGAGAGAGAGAGAGAGAGAGAGAGAGAGAGAGAGAGAGAGAGAGAGAGAGAGAGTGA